TGTCGCGATGTTTGACTGCTTCGGTAGCAGTCCAACACCGGCGGACTTCGATTGGTCTTTTTGCCTACTCTGGTCGCCGTACTTCGAACCATCGAGCTTTGTCTTGAACCATTTAGTCTCATAAATGCAATTGGTGTTCGATATGATAAAGCGTGTTTGCTCACCTGGTGTCTTGTGCGCCTGAAGCTTACGATTTTGCAAAGTGAGAAGGAATATGGCTGCATCCACTGGTGCGAGCTCTGGGAAACATCTATGTGCTATCCGAAGCGCCAGCACTGATCTCATTTTCGCTTGTTGGCCTATCCCTCAGTCTAGCGTGAACGGATAAGATACCCTCACTGAAAGCAAGTGCTCATCTGTCACAGATCCCACTGCTGTATTCTTTGGGTAAAGCCTCGACATGAACAGCATAGCGCATGCGGTAAATGTATCTAACCCCCAAAAGACTAAGCAACAGTCTAAGCCGAAGACACACTAGCACCTCTCAGCTTGCCAGTCTCCATGCGCGTGACAGTGTATCGCAACCTGGATTGGCTCGGCCTGGTTACACAACGCTTATGCGCTGCGATATCAGCCAGGATTTAAGCGGTGTTAACAGAGTGTTCCAGAAGATTCTAAGGGTGGCTTAGCAATCCGAATTTCACATGCCCAGATATATATTCTAGGGTGCCGACTGAGTATTTGCCTCCGCTGGGGCAACGGCAGACGGTCAGAATGCCTAATATTACGGTGGAGAATTGACGCGGACGTTTGTCAAAGGTCAGACGACCGGATCAGTCGCAGTTGCGAGCTGGCCTTGCCAATGGGGGGAATAAAGTCAAGATGAGGGTTAAGCGGAAGAAAGACACACCGTTAGGTGCGGAGGATGTTGGAGTGGCTTCAATCAGAGGCAGCGCCCGTAAGTGTGGGGTGCGTCAACGTACAATTTAATATATTCTACGGATGCTCACCTCTATTCTGCTGTTTCCCAGGCTTTAGTGGGGATAGTGGGGGGCTAATGGATGTGGTAGTGAATGAGGAGACACGTACGAGAGATGGAGGGCAGCCGTTGTTTTGCACAGAGTGCGGGAGGAATCTGAGACCCGGACGGTGCAGAGGCTGTGGAGGGTCAGAGTGTTCAGGCTGCAAGCAGTTGATACCGTGCACGGGGCGGGGCTGTGAGACGTACCAGGTCTTGGCTAGTGACGTATCGTCAAGCGTTGGATGATGGAACTACGTAGGTAGTGTCTATGGAACTGCCTAGATACACATAATCTGGGGAGCGTCAGTAGTGAAGCATTGGTAATAGGAATGAAGTTGGAATGACTTTAACACGTTTGTAACCTCTACGTTTCGGCGATCATCCCTACGAGTAACCGCACAGTGCAAAGACTACCTGGGTACACTTCAAATACTCCTATCAAAGATACTTCCAATTAGAGAGGACTTGGTTGTAAGGGTGCATATGGATCTCGAAAGTTGTAAGTCGCTCGTCTGCCTTGTGCCACCGCAATACCACCGTCACGCGCACCGTAGGGGGGTTGTTAGGGGTAGGATAGGGTGATAAAATGCGATATTTCTGAGATAGCTGTCGCCCCTAATAGCTCCCTAATGTCGTGTTATAAGTAAAAGATGTTAGGGGCGTAATTAATGTTAAATTTCGAGCCTGTTAAAGCATGCAGGTAGTGCCTTCTATCCCAACTTACGAGGGCACTAAGAACGTCAACAACACCACTAACGCTGTTAACAACAAGCATAAGAGACGTCAGGAGTAGCTGCAAAAAGGAGTCTTATATATTGTTAACGCGCTGCACCTCCTAACTGTACTTGCAGTAAAGAACGTAGAACATTCACCTATCTAGAGCGTAGGCACGTCCAAAGCTTAGCATACCTTACTAGAATCTATGCAAAAGCACTTAGAAGTGACCTCTATTACCTTTAAAAGAGCTTTAAAAGCGTCTCCTGTACAATATATAAGCTAGAAAATAGCTATCGTCTAAAGTCACAATGTTAACAATAATATGCTTCTGTTAGCTAAACTTTAGATAATAGGCCCCTAACAGCACTTCACGGCAATGATACGCTGTTTCAGCCCTATCGACCCCCTGGTGCTGCGCGCTACGGCATGGGACGATGTGGATCAACCAAATTACACGTCAGTAAAAGACAAAAGCAACGCTTCGTTCTGAGACATCATACTCACCGTAAATGCAGTGATTTCGCGCTCACACTGTGTGAAAGACAATCGTTAGCCGCGCACCCAGACATTGCGTCACATCACACCTTCCCTGCAGACAAGCAGCTCACTTTACCCTCGTCGTCGCGCTCTCTCGCACTCCCGTAGCAACAACTCAACACTTTACGGCAGTACGCGCATCCGTACTCACCAACTGTCAATCCAACGTAGCGGCCAAAATGGAGTGACTATACCCTGCAGTCCATGAATTTACTCACAGTCACTAACAGACGTAGTCCGACAGACTTAATCATTCAGTTGGTAGTCCCGAGCTGCGCTGGGGAGACGGTACGTCTCAACGTTCACCGCGGTGTTCTCTGTAAGAGCTCGGGCTTTCTTCAGAACGCAATAAAGCCGGAGTGGACCAATCGGGAAGAGAACGTCGTCACTCTTCCGGAGGATTCCGCGAACACGGTCATCGACTACATCAAGTGGCTATACTACGACAAGATAGCAATCAAACTTTACGAAGCTGGAGCCGACAAGCTTGAAAAGAAGGCCGAAGAAGCGGAGAAAGTTTTCTGTCTACTCGCCGAAGCATACATCTTCGGGGAGAAGATCATCGACACTCAGTACAAGAATGCAGTAGTGAAGGCCATATTCGACGCCCAAAGGAGTTCGCGCTGGAGTATGGGACCAGAGAGTGTCAGCATCGTCTATGAAGGCACACCTTCAGGATCTCCTGTTCGGCGCATAATTGCTGACAGGTTTGCGCACTCAGCCTACGATGACTCAAAAGACGGATATGGCTGGATGCAGTTTATCGACGGATATCCGCGGGAGGCTTTGGCTGATGCAATGAAGCTATTGCTGTGTCTTCGTAAATCGGACGGCAGACCTGAACCTGGCGTCGAATCGTACCTTGAGTAAGAGTAGGGCTAAATGCTTTTCATTGTGAGATCACGGCTTTCGAATGGCTCGAGCTTCACGCTGGAGGGCCTCCCAGCCCGTACTATCAATGAACTCCATTGGGGAATCTATATTTGTGAAAGTCTCTTGCTTTTTCTACACCTCACTAGGCAACACCCCCCATCTATCATAAAACTTTCTCTTGACCTCATCACACAATACATCATTCGCCTGATTAATCTCCGCCATCCTCTCGGTAGCTTTCTTCTTATCTTGCCCACGACAGCGATCAGGATGCCACTTTAGACTCATAGAACGGTGTGCTTTCTTGATATCCGCAGCTGTGGCACCTCGGCTAAGACCAAGTACGATGTAAAGGTCTGTTGCGGGTTTGATGCCCTGTGGAGGCGGCGTGACTGGGCGTTGAGATGATGATGCTGGTGGTGGTGGTACATAGGAGGTCCTAGGTGGAGCGCCGGGGCGGAAAGAGTATGAAGAATTGGTCGGATACGAATCAGACGACGAGTAGAATGTGTAGCTTGGTGGTGAGGAAGAGTACATGGGTTGACTCGACTCTGCAGTCCAACGCCGATAGCCTGGATGTGGCTTGCGGTCTCTATTACAGGAGGAAGACCAGCTGTATGCATGAAAACGAGGGTTATAAGAGGATGAACGCTGCAGGCCAGAATCTCTAGCAGTATATCTATCGGAGTTTCCTCGCGATGGTTGAGCATGGTTCTGATAGTCGTAGGCAGAAGGGATGTAATCCGGACGGCGATAGCTCGGCGTACTCCGATCCTCCGCGTGTTGCCATTGCGGCTCCTGAACATTGCCCTGGTAGTTGTAATGGGAGGGGATGTGCTGAGGAGCGCAATATTCTGGTACACTTGGTATGCTCCAGTCTACTTCAGCTTGCGATCGCGGCTCTGCAAATATGCTGTCATTGTCGTCAAGAAGACTCCACATCATACCGGAGATCCCACTGAAAGCATCGTATCCACTGCCATCTCTGGCTCTCCTTGTTCTATGCATCGGCGGGTCATCGTCATACGAGAGTGGAGACGATGAATAGTTCTGGTGCGCTATACTCGCTTGATCTAGCTCTTCCAGGTACCATTTTGAGGTAAGAGAATCGGCGTTGAGGACACGTTTGATGTAATTGAGGCTGCGTTCGGAGGCTTCTTCGACGGTGTAGCCCCTGTTGCGGCAATGAATGTAATAGCTTTCCCGAAGCTCTTCTTCTTCTACGTGAGTTTCCATAGGGAGGTGTATGGAGTCTTTAAGTAAAGGGTTGATAGTGGTACTCCAACCGTCAGGGGGAACGGTGTCAATCAATGGAAGAATCGCGAAGGACTCGGAGGTCCGGGGTGGCTTGGCCTCTTAAGAGGTGAATGATGCATAGTAGGGTGTAGCACTGTTAAACAATAGCACTTCGGCAAAGGCCCCAAACACTCATTGTAATTTCACTGCACTTCGCTTCCTATCTGAATGAGTGAGATAGGCCAGCGATTGACTGCCAGCCACTTTGGCATGGTTCTAGAGTGAGTAGTTGGGCTGACCCAACACATGCCAGAAGCTGATCAGACAAACAAGGGTTTAGAGGAAAAGAGACAATTACCGTTGTACTTCCCTAAAGTTTATTGCCTTCTAAAGCCTGAAAATAACTCGCCTCATTACCTGATAGCTTGTTCCTTGCCCTGGAGACGTCTCGTGGTTTTAGCCTCAATGCGCAGTCATAACTTATACGGTACGTATCGATCGTCTCTAGCAACCGCTGTCTTGACTTTACTATGACAACATTTCAATCGGTTACTATTCGCTGAATAGCGAGGACGAGCTGCATAGCTGACTAACGGCAGCTCAGTAACGTGTCACAAGGTTCCCCGCACGATAACACTTCACAGCATCACGCTGATGAACACCACCGCTCACAGTGATGGAGAACTTTGACTGGAGCCGCCCGGAACTGAATCGGACACACTTCCATTCACTCGCGAACCTTCTTTCACTTCGCAATGGCGGCCAAGTCGAGCCTACTGTGAAATTCGACACTGAGCCTGAGCTAGATTCGGAGGTCAACGACGAAGAAGATGAGGATTCTCGTAGCGTCAACACTGCTTTGGCAAACCAGATATCTGACTCAGGTCATGGTAAACTCAAGAAGCGGTTTCTCGATGCCGTGGCTGGGTTCGCCGCGAACAAAAAGGGCGGCACAGCAGTTGCTTGCTCGGCGATGAAAGAGGCTGAGAATGACGTCGTCATCTGGCTCGCTCGCAACGACGGCTTTTCCAATGGCGATCGTCCTGTTTTCGAAAGATTGGGAGAGATACTGAGTTCTCTGTCCTACAACGGCGGTAAGTTCCGTAACTCTGCCATGTGCGCTCGCGCGCTAACTGAGGCTCGTGCTCATAGTCCAGGACTCCAAGGATCTCCTATGGGAACACATGGTTTCGTACCACAGTAGCCGCATCAAACAGGATTATATTCCCAACCTGAGGCAAAGCTTCAAAGCTTACGACGCTGAACAAACGCGACATGTTGCCAACACGACACCAGATCGGTCAGTCGTCGATGCAGAGCTATCCGCCTTGCGTGACGTTCTGTTCAATAGCCTGCCGAGTGACATCAGTACTTTCAATAAGCACACAAAGCTGATTGTGGCGTCGTACGACCTGCGCCGGGAAGCTGCCGTTGAAGAGGCACTAAATAGCGGCGCGAGTTCGACTCTGAAGTCGAGAACGTTGTGGATCAGCATCTGCCTTTTCTCCCGTGTTCGCGTGGCGTATCGCACCTTCATCGAAATAGCCCAGACTTTGCCAAGTTTTGGGCACATCAAATTCGTCCTCGTTCCCCGTCCTGCTGTATCTCCAAAACCACCTCAACGACCGGCAACTTTAAAACAAACTTTGGGAATGCTTAAGTTGGACTTGAATCTTAACATAATGAAGAAAGTCCTGGGTAATGATTGGACCGTCGGTAAGACTGAAGAGAGGTTCAAGAATCTGCAAAAGCAGAACCTCAACGTGCACGCCGAGGTGCAGATGCTGATAGCTTTGGCTGCGAACGAATCGGTGAAGTCGGATCTGTTTCCATATTTTGGGTGCAGCAAATTGAGCTGTTTCATGTGTAGTCGTTTCATACAGGCATATGGGCGATTTACTACGAGAGGATGCCATGGACGTCTTTTCAAACCGTGGACCGTACCAAATGCAGAGGGGTTATTGCCGGGACAGTCTGATCGCATCGCAAGAGCTCTCGTGTCGGTCCAAAAGCAGCTCAAGAAAAAGCTCAAGGAGTCGATCGAGACTCATATTCGACACGAACGAACTTCGGTAGTTGGCGGAAGTAGTATCGTGAGTAAGTGGCCGGAAAAGACTCCATCAAGAAGATCGCAGATCGACCAAATGGAAGCAAAAGGTGTACACGAGAAAGTTTTAGAAAGATTCCGCAGGTCAGTGATGCTGCAAATTCTCGATGTCGCCGGTTCCTGCTCGTATTAGGCCCCTGTCTAACCGTCACAGACGAGGCGAAAACCCAACCAGATCAGCCCAGTATAGATACTCCCCCTCTGACGGACGGGATACGGCCCGAGAGTGTGACGTATGCTACAAGCGAACGACTCGAAGATGCGGTTTCTGCAACAAGGACTCTTTCTGCAGCGAGCGTTGTGAGGACAAGATGCCTTCGCGGCATGTGTTCAATTGCTCGAAACGCCCGCTCACGACAGCTGATTTCTTATGGAGATCATTAGTAGAAGACCTCATACCAGAGGAAGAAGATGTTTTGGAAGATTTTGGGTTCAACGGTGTGGAGTTTGGTCAAGGAAGATCATACCTTTTTGGTGTATATGCCGGTCTCTATCTGTCCGGCAGATTCTCAGCGGAAGACTTCCATAACTGGCGTATCGAAGGTATCCTCACCGAGAAGATCAAGGAGTTCTTCTACAGCCTTCCTGAAGATTCCCGCGGAGGCTACTTTCCTTGGTTCTTGAAAAACCTCCCTGCCTTCGAGCGGCCCACGACCAAACAACAGGCGACGCAAAACCTCGTCGCAAGCATGTTTGCTAAAGCCAGACCGTATTTGGATATCGAAGATCGCAACAGAGCGCTTGATGAGTTGACGCCTGAAGCCAAGCGGGATAGCTTCACCTTGCTGGCTCAAGTGTCTCACCAGATGTCGCCGAATCCGATCGAACAAAACTGGTACTCTTTTGGGTTTGTGACCTGTCGTGGAAAGAGCGAGGAGAACACACTCCTGCAAGTCTACCAGCTTCTCCTTCTTGAGGATGATGGCAGTTACTTTTACGAGTTCTACAACAGCCGAAGGGACCACAACTCACCTGTCGGATTGACGCAATTTTGGAAAGCGTACGAAGCGGGAACACTCATACAGCTCATGGATTCGAAAGGCCTCAAGACTCTTCGATCCAATTTGCCACTCTTGGAGGTCTTCTTTTCCGGCTCGCGCTTCTCCGTGTGGGATTTGAAATGGTTCCTTGACATCGAAGACCCAGTGAAGTATCCGCCCGTTCCGGAAGTGAGCCTCGACTATGGCTTCGTCAACTGCACCAAGTTAGAGGAGACCTACACGTTAATGGAAATCTACAAAAGGGTTTTGCAGACAGCACATCCACTAGGCCTCCAACACGCGTGTATTACAGGAACTTTGTGGCAGTTTGCAAGCAATCACATCCGGATGGAGGAAGAATGGAGGCCGTTGATGAAGAACGTCTATTCATTGGAGACACCGATGGTGTCAGAGACAGACGAAGACATGGCACCGAGAGCAGGGTCAGAGGAACATGGAGAACCCGTTGTTGTTTCGTCGTCGCTACTGTCGAGACTGTGGAGGTCGCTTTCGATTGTTTAATCCAATACCGTATACCGTAATGCCTGTTACGAACTCAGTGCTTTGGTAACCATGCAGTGAGATGTCTACTATCCAACTGTTGCCAGACCTCATGACTAGGCGTAATGATACATTGATTGGAAACAGTGCTTTCGCCTGCATGTGCGGAGAAGCCTTATCCCATACTGATGCATACTGATGCATACTGATGCATACAAATGTTGTACATACCCCACCCCCCTCACATAGGGACAGGCGTCAGATGGCCATCCTTGTCGTATTTCGCCTTGAAGAACGTGTAGCTCAGTGTGACGGTCTCAATGCCCTTCATGTTAATATCCTTTGTGAATTCGGGATCGATGTAGAAGAAGACGGGCATGTCCACCGTTTCCCCAGCATTTAGTCTCTGCTCTTCGAAGCAAAAACATTGAATCTTGCTGAAGTATGGGGCGACCTGTCCTGGCGTGACAGAATATGTAGCTACGCCAATGATATCTTCTGACGATTTGTTGGTCGCGGTGTAGAAAGCGAGGGCAGTCTCGCCGGGGAGGACTCGGACTTCGCGTTGTTGAGGAACGAACTTCCACGGTAGGACGTCGGATACGGAGCCATTGAATGTGATTCGGATACGTGGATGGTGTTCGACGGGCTTTAGGCGCTCGGAGGGATCGACGGAAGTATCGCCGCCGTGGGCCGCTGACTTTATGGGCTGGCCTCCCCAACCAGTTTCCTGGCAGATCTATAGAATTTGTGAGATTGGGTTCTTGTCGACAAGGTCATGATCTATGACCATACCATCTTGTAAAACGGTACTGAGCCATAACTGAGCGCTGTGAAGCCTATTATTACACTGAAGACATAGTTCCTATACTCGGTCAGCGATTGCGCTTTCTGCCAACACAACCTTGCACGTACATGACTGTGCGGTTCTTCATCTTATATTGCGCATGCATCTGGTCCATTCTTGGCACGGTGCCATGCTGCCGCGCGGGATTTGTGCTGTTGATCCATCTTCGTGCGGTCAAGGCGGGATTGCGGGCGCGCGGGATCCTATTGAGCGAGCGAGAGCATGACAGGCAAGTCCAGGATCCCAGCGACCGTGAGGGAAGTTGTCGTAATGGCGATGCGGCAGACATGTTGTATTGTTGTGTTGTAAGAGTCAACGAGCCAATGGACGAAACCTCGGCGGAGTGATGAGCAATGGAAGTTCGCCGCGGGATTTAGCCCGATTGGGAACGCGTCTTGGAGCGCAAAAGTCGCGAGTGATTGCGGACGTCATCTTCGACACGCCCAGCACCACCATTCATACGACACACATTCGTCTTTTCCTTATTAAATTTGAAGTTGCGACCCCCGCCAACAAATAGCACAATGTCAGAAGTTCTCTGCGGCGTTTGCAACGCAGAGCCCAAGAAATACAAGTGCCCGACTTGCGCGCTTCCATAGTTCGTTGCCATTTTTGATCTCTCGGATCTACAACACTGATCGCATACAGCTGCTCATTATCATGCTTCAAATCGCACAAAACAACACATCCCGAAACCACATCGGCCGCCACGAAGCCAGCAGAGCCCGCTCTCCCACAACCACCACCTCCTGCTCCAGTACCGCGCTACCTAAAGACGCGCACCGACTTCTCTGTCTTAGCAACGAACCCTAAATTTCAAGAGCTACTCAAAACACACCCAACACTACTCCCGACACTCCAACGCGTATACGCCAAGACCATAAAACCAGATCCCGAAGCTGAGAGTCGGCGGCGCATGCTCGAACGGAACGCTTCGCGAGGAAGAGGTATGAGAGGAAGGGGCCGAGGGGCATGGAGGGGTGGACGCGGAGGCTGGAATGGAGGGCAGGAGAAGAAGGAAGAGTATTGGACCCAGAAGAAGGGAGACAAGGACGCGATGGAGGAGTTGAAGGGCATAAGAGAAGGGGAGGGAAAAGAGGGGGAGAAAGATGCCATGGCCGAGTTTGTTGGGTTGGTAGAAGAACTCTTTGGGCAGCATGAGAAGGATGCTATGGAAGAGGTCTGATGCTTGAGCCATAAACCACGACAAGTTCAATGCCGGAGATAAGCGCCTTCTCGAACGGGTAGTCATGATATATTATACGTCGCCAGCTAGCTAGCACGTATACTTGATATCCAAATCCACCCTCGGCACGCCCTCGAAATCCTCCGGAACCACATACGAAATATTGTAGAACAAGTGGTTCCTCAGCGCCGTTCCATACGTCACATTCTGCTTCACCAAGCCCCCCGCCTCGATCTCAATATCCACACACGGCAAATCCTCAAATCCCGTAATCCGTCTTCCGGTTCCCAGCGTCCAACTCGGCGGCACATTCGACAGCGCAAACGTGAAGATATCGCTTCCTTCTTGCGTCCGGTTGGGATAGCTAACAGATAGATGATTCGGCGATGCGACAGCGTGGATCGACGACGCAGACGGGTAAAGGGCGAAGAAGGTGTTAAGCGGATAAGGCTTATGCTCCTTATCACCCGCCCAATGCACAATAGCAGGAACGAACTGATCCCCTCTATTCACGTCCTCATCCACCTGTTGCCCGCCAATCATCAACTCTTTGCTCACCCAACTCGACGCGATCCTCGGTTCACCTCCCTCGAGCTCATCCCAGACCGTTCGGTTCAGCCACCTTGACTCTCCAATGAAGTCCCTCGTCGTGAACGCCTCTTCCACATGCGCTGGTAGAAGCTCCTCCACACCCCCCAAAACAAGCGCCATAGCCGCTCCTTGCGCAACATCAAACAGTAAATCCCCCTCCATCTTCTTCGGCTGGCTCGTCCGTTCCCTGCCCCAGAGACCCCACAGTACCAAGGACAAAACAGACGAATGCTGCGTGATATCCCTCGTATACGCCCTATCATACGGCCCGACCACATTTCCCAAATACCCATTATAATGAGCCGCTAAATCACCCATCATCCGCGGCAGAATATACTTCGCAGCTTGCGTCATGCTGAAGTTACCAATCCCGTACTTGATCTGTGCGCCCATGGCCCAGACATCGATTCCGTAGTACGTAGGCGCGTTGTACTCGCTGACCGTCTCCGCGCCTTCTCGTTGGAATAACTGCAATATCTTGTTTCCTTGGTCTTCCGCAAACGAAAGATACGTGTTGTTAGATCGACGTGTACCGATGTATTCGCAGAGGAGAGCGCGCATCATAGCTGGGTTTGTGTAGCCGATTGTTAGGTTGTCGTCGATTGTGGGGTAGGTGCCGTTGCGGCGCATACTGCCCACGGCGGCGACTTCGAGCGAATCTTCGATGGAGGTTATGAGGGAGGGGGCGAGGAGGGACGAGAATTCGGAGAGGATTTGGATTAGTTGTGTGCCGATGAAGTCGCGCCAGTTGGGGTCGTAGGTCGTCTTTGGAGGGTTTCTGTTAGTTTGAGGGTTGGGAGGAGGACATTAGATGCTGGTCAACGTACGTATATCTTCGGTACGTATAACCCTGAATCGGGCGTTGGATCTGGTTCATCGGGGGATAGCTTGTATGTTCCGTACCATGGAGCGTCGAAATCATCTGTCATTTGGCAGGCCAGTCTGTTTTCATTGTCAGTCTCGAGCTTCTTTTCGTTCGACTCTCCTATGTTCGAATGATACCTACATATTCCTGATAGAGGCTTCTGCATGCTTCACATCATCTCCCTGGTTTCTGTGCAATAATCCGGCTACGTACCATGCTGTGAAGCGAACAGACCATGGCCCTTTGTCAGAGTACTGGATGAAGTTGTAGGAGGCGTCATAGCGGTTATCTTGGATGTGCATAGACCAATCGAACAGGTCTTGTGCGTCTGGTTGGGACTGTTAGAAGACATGCAACATGGAGTACGAAAGCATGATTGACATACTAGGAGAAAGTACTGTCTTGCTACGTTTCGTTACTGCAGCACTTACACACGTGGCAAGATACGCTACGACGAAGCTGATTACCTTCATCTTGATCTATACACAACACAGGCGCATCCAAGGACGACTTCGCCCTCAACTTAACATCGACTTAAATACCTTCCAAGATTCCCGCACGCCTGAGCCGGATAATTGCACCCGCAATGAAATACCTCCGCATCGTGAGCGGCGATCTACCCCAGACCTCAAGTTTTCGGCGCAGTGCCCGCCGAAGAGTAGCCTCGTGTGTTCTAGCGAAGCTTGGAGTGCTTGGTAGGATCAGGTAGTTGCATGTGTAGTGTGACTTCTCGTTGCCGCTAATGACGCACCGGGAAATTTTCCCGGATGTATTCCTCTGGGCGTCAATACTTCCGGTGCTACTCGCATTCGAGTCTTGGGACTGGTGTTCAACTCTTGGAAAGGGCATTGATCAATGCAAGATAACGCGTGTCGCGGATAGGAATGTGGTATCATAGAGCCAACAGTAGGTTACATAGTAAGAGGTTCCACCTCTTTCCTTAATCTTACCTCAATCACGATCAAGAACTTATACCGTCTCGATATACCTTCTCACTTCCCAGTCAGTCACGGCTTCATCCCACAGCCTAATCTCGTGTTGCCTGGTACCGCCAAAGTGGTCCACAAACTGGTCGCCAAATACCTCTCTCGCAACACTTTCTTTCCTCATGAACCGCTCTGTGGCCTCCTTCAAGCTCTTGGCTAGGCGCTCGCCCTTGTCCGCTTCTCCGCCAACATCTTCGCCTTTGCCTAGGGGCGGTATGCTAATCTCCATCTTCTTCTCGATACCTCGCCAGCCAAGAGCTAGAATGGCAGCAAGGACAAAGTGTGGGTTTGTGTCTGCGCCTGGCACGCGCACTTCAAAGCGTGTTGCCTTGCCAGAAGAGGTAGGAGGGGAGATGAGGCGGATGGACGCTGCGCGATGTTCGAGACCCCATGACACAGTGACGGGTGCCCAGAAGTTTTCCACCAGCCGTTTGTAACTGTTGACATTGGGTGCTAGAATAGGCATGATGTCGGGGAGACCGTCGATCAAACCTGCGAGGAAATGCCGACCAAGGTCCGAAAGGTACGCGATGTCTGAGTATGGCGCGTTCTTGTCCTCTTCGCCTCTGTAGAAGAGGTTCTTGTTTTCTTTGTCCACGATGGAAACGTGCATGTGACCGCTGTTTCCTGGGAGGCCTTCACGCGGCTTTGCCATGAAGCACGGTGTTATGCCGTACTTGGATCCGAGAGACTTGACGACAAGCTTGAAGAGCGACGCTTTGTCCGCCATTTGCTGGATCTCTCCGAATTCGAGAGCCTATGCTGTGTCAGTCTGCTTTGCCTGTGCCCACGAGTTGATAGACCCACCGCTTCAAAGACACCCGGACCGGACTCTGTATGCCATCCTTCGATGCCGCAGCCAAACTGGGCGCATGTGTTAAAGATGCCGTAATAATACTCCTGGTTGTGAACGGGTCGCGTGATGCTGTATCCGAACATGCCTTCGGTAAGACTTGGGAGCGAGTTGACGGGGTTGTCGCGCAAGAAGGCGGCGGTGCTCGATGTGTTCCTCTCTGAGCCATCGTGGCTCTGGGGCGCGCGGAATTGGTAGAACTCATACTCGGCTACACAGTAACACATCAGCTTCATTGACGACGCGCAGCACCCGCTCTTCAACTGGCGTTGGACTCACCACCAGCCATCGCGCCATATCCATTCTCCTTCAGCTTGTCCACGGCGCGCTTCAACAGACTCCTCGGGCATGCGCTGAGGGTGCTCTTGGTGTCCGGGTCGTGGAAACTGATGAGGAAGAAGGGCACGTTGTCCTCCCATGGTATCCTCCGGAAGGACGTCAGGTCGGGTATGGCGAGCAAGTCGCGGTATCCGTTCTCCTTGTTGGAGATGGCCAGCTCCTTGAAGTATGTCTGGTCGTGCATGTCCCATCCGAAGATGACGCTGCAGAAACCGAAGCCCTCGTTGGCTATGCTGAGGAACTTTTTCTTGGCCATGAGCTTGCCGCGTAACACGCCGTCGACATCGATGCCTGC